GGACACAAATTAATTCCAGTTTCAGAAAAAAAAAATTTCAGAAAAAGTTGAGATAGAGACGCGTCCGTGTACTCGACGTCCGTCTGAGAATCGCGGACGCGTCCGCGTATTCGCCGTCGGTAAGAGATCCGAGGAGGCATCCGTGTACTCGACGTCGGTCTGATGATCGCGGACGCGAGTGTGTATTCGACGTCCGTCTGAAAATCGCGGACACGTCCGTGTACTCGAAGTCCGTCTGAGAATCGCAGACCCGTCCGTGTACTCGACGTCCGTCTGAGAATCGCGGACGCGTCCGCGTACCCGACGTCCGTCTGAGATTCGCGGACCCATCCGCGTACTCGACGTCGGTAGGAGATCCGAGGAGGCGTCCGTGTACTCGAGTCCGTCTGAGAATCGCGGACGCTTTTGTGTACTCGAAGTCCTTCTGAGAATCGCGGACGCGTCCACCTACTCGACGTCGGTAGGAGATCCGAGGAGGCGTCCGTGCACTCGAAGTCCGTCTGAGGATCGCGGACGCGTCCAGGACGTCTTTGATTCGCACCTTTGATTTGTTTGCGACGTCCTTCTGCAATTCAGGTACACGACGGTGTAATTTCCTAAACTTTTTCAAAGTTCAGACTCTTCAAAATTTGTTTAAGTCCAGAAAAGTCGAAAATCTCCGAACATCATGCCGACCGAATTCGTTCGCGACTGACTGCGTCGGCCGTGCCAGCCGGCGTCATTCGCGAAGGTCGACGAAAGTCGAGCTTCTCAAATTCTTTTTTTTTAAAGTTCAACATTTAAAATATTTTCTAACCGGCGTCGGTCGCGACGAACGAAGTAGGTCGATGCGGTTGGCGTCCGTCGTTGCAGCCGGTGTCGGACCCGAAGAAAAGAGTCGGTCGTGGTCCAGTTTCTATTTTTTTTTTCCAATTTCAACTTTCAAAAAAGAAAATTTTCTTACAGGATTCGATCCCGGCGGACTGAGTCTGTCTCAGAAACCGGCGCCGGTGGAGACGAACAGAGGCAGCCGGCGCCGTAAACGACGAACTGTTCCGGTCGACGTCGTTCGAGAAGGACAGCGGCGGTTGAGGCTGCCGTCCAGCATCTCGGCGAGAAGGTGCCTACCGCACGCGAACGTCATGCAAGACAGCAGCGGCATCATCGTCTCCAGATCTTGAATTCTTCTCTTGACCCAGGGTTTCAACGGTATGCCGATCTCCTTCGTCCACTGCGCGAGTACCACGGTCGTCAGGAATTCCTGCCAGGATTTCGAACACGCGTCCACGACTTGGTGTAGAGTCTTGGCCGATATCGCGGTCGAGGAAGTCGCCGAATGCGTGTTTGCGACGTCGGCGGGGACGGAACCGAGCAGAACGTTCCTGACGAGTACGTCGAGCGCGTGGGTCGCCTGTTCGACTCCGGAGTAAGACTTCGCGTTAAACTCGCACGCCAGCATGCTCCTCTCGTCTCCCACGTCCTCCGTGGCGACGTCGGGAAGACCGTACATCCCTCCGTGCCTCCGAGCTGCCAAGCTGCTCCTCAGATTCTCCTTCTCCCGTCGGCACCGCGCAAGGTCGGCGAGAAGCTTCTGTTCCTTGTCCACGGCGGCGGCCTTTCGCGCGTCACTCAGTAGGGAAGCTGCTCGCGGAACTCCGATCGTTCTCGCGTGGACGAGATTTTCGACAGCCGCACCCGTCACGCGATCTTCGTCCTCTTCGTAGTCGGCATCCGGAGTCTTTCGCTCGTCCCTGGGACCGGTCACGATGAAGTTCACGGCAGAGTTTCGGACTGCGGCCAGGTTGTAGTCGGTAAGCGCCCTGACGTTCTCGTGACAGACGGCCAGGTAGGACACGGCGCTTCGAAGTCGACCGTCGACGCTCGGACTATGTACGATCGTGACGGCGAGCGCTTCCTCGGTAATGACGGACCTGACGTGGAGGACGCCTTCCCGATTTCTGAACACCAGACATTCGTCCAAGTCCACCGCGACCGGGATTCCGTCGCGACACGTAGTCGCGACGAACCCGTATATCCACACTGATCTAATGACGTCGTGGACGAACCGGTCGAGGTGCGCTTTGTATCGTTCGCAGAACGCAGCGACCACGTCCTCCGACGGCCAGGGCATCTCCACAGTCGACTCTCCGTGCACGACGGTGCCCACGTTCGAGCGCATACCGTGCTCGAACATGGCTCGCACCGATATCACCTTTCTCAATCTCGTCAGGATGCACATGCACATCGGTAGTTCGTCGAAGGTCTTCCTGACTCGTCGACATTGCTCCTCGTCCAGGAGATAGAGTTCGGCATTCTTGAATTCCTCGTTCACCCTACGCATGCAAGCGTCGCGCCTGTTCGCCACGTGGCGAACGTACTTCCTCGAGTCGAGGAACATTAGCGTCGCGTTCGCTTAACGTGTGCACGTCCGAGATGAACGTTTCGCTGTCCGCGGTGATCCTTTTCACACTACTATCCATAGTTTTCCAACACCGGGGCAAGACGTACGC